CGGCCCCGCGTGGCCACCAGCATCTCGTGGACTCCTGCACAGTGCTGAAGCGAGGGGAGTGGGCTTCTGTTTTTCCTCCATTGTGGAGAATTTAAAGACCTTGGTACTGCTGCAGACTAGAGATGGAGCACTGTCATCAGTTACACTATCTTTTAGAAAGAGAAAATGAGTGGGACGTTTACAGCACTCCACAAGCTGTTCGATATTATTGTGAATAAGCTATTTTTCTTAGCAATCATGTCTGAGCAGCGTGTTAAAATCATTTCTGGGAAAAAAATTTTGAAAACCATCTGGTTTTTAAGGATTTGGTACCAAAAATTTATGGATAGAGGCAAAAATGCCTCTTCATCTTTCTCTCTATATTTTCCAGTTGAAAACAAACTGAGAAGTCCTTTAAGAATTTATAATCCATTCCCCATTACCTTAATTTCGCTTTTCCATCACTGTTAATGATCAGAGTAACAAAGTGTGAAAAATAAGAAACCATCATTGATGTTAATTAACACATTTAGATGGGCCAGTTAAAACAGCTTCATAAGTTTAAATTAATTGTAAATGGAGTATTCCTCATCTAAAATTTATGCATATTTTCTACTGTAAACCAAAAGGGGTTGCTGAGCAAAACCACCTAAATTTAAAAGTTGGTGATTTGAACTAACCTCGAATTAAAAGAAAGCTTGGCAGTGTCATGAATGTCACCAGAATTGGGCAGTGTGTCCCTGCACACATCCCCAGCCATCCTCACTCAATCCATTGCTCATATACTAACCACATAATGACCTGTTCAAACCAGCCACCATTTAATGAACTGTGAATTTACACAGAGGCCATTCTAAATGGGTCACCCCATTTGGGTCTGAAATTATTAACCAAACATCACTGCATTTCAAAGTAAAATATTCCACCAGAGGTGTGATTTATTGGCTCTCCCATTGCCACTTAATATGCCCAGAAAGTAGGCATGTTCCAGCAGGTGGTGGGAAGCAGGACCAGGCTGTCCCTTGTTTGTAAAGTGAGTGCGAATCAGATCACCAAAGTGGGGCTTTGTCATGTCCTTCCCTGTTATCAATATGGTGCTCAGATATATCCCCAACTATAGAGTCATGAGGAAAGTGATGATGGCTTTAAAAACAGAAGTTGTTCATGTTTTCAGTTGCTCTTGAGACGCAAGTATAGTTTTAATGGTCTTTGTATATTTTTTTTATGGCTTTTCCATTGTTTTTATCTCTAATGGGTTACATTTTATTTGGACCAGTCTCGTAAAATGCTACTCTACAATTTGACTTTGGAGTTGTTGCTAGAAATTTAAACCCCAGGCCAGAGATTCAAGTTGTCTCAGCCATTTCTTCCCAGGTTGTTGATGGCGCTGGGGAGCCACTGTTTTTTTTACGGATGTGGCCGTAGAATGATCAGCAGGTGTCCCTGGCATTTCAGGAAATAGCATGGTGTTCCCTGACAAGTATTTGTTAGGAAAGAAGGTCTGGGAATAAAAATCCAGCCCTTCCTTGATCATCCCTGAAATGTGGGGCTTCTACAGCAGTTGAGGGTAGCTGTAGGCCTTCATCCTCATCCCGCCCAACCATAACCCAACGACTAGCTGCTCCTAGGAGTGGAGCTGCTCAGACCAGGGGCTTCCCTCCCAGACGGTCTCTGATGGGGATACTGGATCACTGTTAAAGCTTTTAAAGCTGTCTTAACTATCCTTGAAGGAAAGTGACCCTTTAAGAAAGGGTCACCATTTATTTATATTTTCAGTGAATAGAGTGATTAGGGTTGGCTTTTGTCTCCCAACCCATTTGGGTGAAATCATGGATCTGATTAGAAGTGATTTTAAGGATCTCATTGGGGTGGTGGGACCGTCCATTCTGACTGAAATCAGGGCAATGCCAGCTAAAGCCCCAGCTGCTATGACCGTGACCTGGAGAGGGACGCAGCCTGCAGTCTGTGCGCCAGCTTGCTGGGCTCCTCAGAACACTGTCTTTCTCTGTTGAGCCTTTCCTGAGGGCAGATCAGCACGAGCAGTGAGAGAAGCTTAGTCATGCTGCCCTGAAGCTTCAGCTCCTTTCCTTGCTGAAGCCCATGTCTGTGGGAAGGCAGGGCCCTCCGTCTCCCTGAGTTGAGGCCAGCAGGGACACCTGCCCCTCTACGTGCTCCGTGATGGCTCTGTCAGCCTGGGCGCGGGGAGAAATGGGACCGTTTACTGTCAGGTCTCCAGAGCTCCTGATCTTACCCCAGATTGTGGCTAAAATCTACTGTCTCTGGTTTTATTAATTTGGGAGGGGGGTGGCTTCGCCATGGGCATGAAGCAGTGTTTGTCTAATGGATTGACGTCTCTCTGCTAATTGAGAGAGCATTATTTATTTGTTTTGACACAGTGCTTTCAGTGTTGTATCCTGGCTAATGGCTTCCTAAAGGTAATGAAACCCTCCCAACCTAATTGGTCAGATAAGACTTTTTTTTCTTGTGTGCTTAAATAAAGCAATTAGTGAAGCGCTTCTATCCAACATGCCTTTTTTTGTCCTTTTTTTAAACTAATTTACTGTTATTGGAAACTTTTTGTACAATAAAGCAACTGTGCAGATTTAACAACATCCTGCAATCCTAGTGTT